TGATGACACCACACGTTCTTTGAACTTTGTCCAGCAGTACCTTTTCCCTCCTTGGTTCAACATATGTTCCTAGTTCGTTCTCTCTTTGGCCTTCTGGGTTCCCGATCCCCAAAGTGAATGCTGTGTGTTTTTGTTATATCTTACAGAAATCATTATTCAAGAATTGTTTTTGATTGCTGGACATTCCATTGGCGAAGTTGAAAGTCTATCGCTCAGAGGAAATAAGTCGACAAGGAGGAGGTAAAAAGAGAGAGAGAGAGAAGAAAGACTAGACTTCTGACTTTTAGATGTACTTTTCTTAAATAGTACGAATTTATGAAGAGTTCTTTTGGATTATCCCTTTAGACGATACAAATTAATGTTGAGAACATAAACAAGATGGAAATGATGCCAAGAGTAGAACTGTAGCCGAGGTAATCCTTCTGTTAGTTGACTCTCTGAAATAGACCGAATCTTGTCCATACATTGTCACTAACTTGTACTATCAATGTCCTGAGAAGGGGAAACCAGGGTTCTAAAGGATACGTGAGGGATCCACCTGCCATACTGGTAAAGGAGCGAGCTGGGATGTGGACTCCGGCCTCTGGCCAGTCGCTGCTTACGTAACCTAAGCTCTGGCCTGGCCCAGCCTTTGCAGGTCTTCCTCCCTTGTTGAACCAGAGCTCCTCTTCTTTTTTGCTGCTTCCTTCTTTTTTCAGGGCCGTGTAAGTAATGAAAATTACAGCCATAGTTGCATATTCCCATTTGGAAGACACAGCTTGAGGAATGCATGTAAAATACATTTTAAAACAAGGCTTGCCATTTGGAGTTCTTCCAATCTGGAGGAAGAGCAGGGCCTCCATTGCCCGCCTACAGTTAGAAATGGCGCGTCTTCCTCCACGGACTTTCCTTCTGCTCATTGGAAATGGTTCTAAGTGCTGATTGGTTAGGATGAGACATAAAATTGCCATCCGACAGATGGTTGTAGTAAATGTACAATTTGTCAGTGGCTAAGAGGTAAATAATTCTCCCTAGGATTGTGCAATGTCCAATAGTCAGGTGAGTAGAAAATTTAATAAAGTGGCAATTCCTTTAATATTATCCGTTTGGATCTATTCCAATGAACATTTGTTTCTGATTTGGGGCACACTTGTGGATGCTTAATAAGAGGTAGGAGAGGGGACTTATCCCTAAACTAAGCGGAAAGAAGGTATCAGACGAGTCGCTGTGTGTTGCACGCCTGCTCTAGGCCTCTCTTGTCTTGCACTTTGGTGGAATGGCTTTAGCCTCTTTACAAAGTCACAGAATGTAAGGGGAGGAGCAAGCCATCATCTGTGAAGCAGAACTGGACAGTGGCGGCTGAAGCCTTCCACTGAATTGTGTGACTAAAATATAAGACGTT